GTTCTACTTTAGTCCGAGGTCGAATCTGAACCTCGGTATATTCAACTCAAGGTCGAATCCGAACCTCGGTATATTCAACTCAAGGTCGAATCTGAACCTTGGTATATTCAACTCAAGGTCGAATCCGAACCTTGGTATATTCAACTCAAGGTCGAGTTCGAACCCTGGTATAGTCAACTCAAGGTCGAGTTCGAACCTCGGTATAATCAACTCAAGGTCGAGTTCGAACCTTAGTATAATCAACTCGAGGTCGAGTTCGAACCTCACTGCGAAATATCTCGCTTTCACCCAAGGTCGGATTTGAACCTTGGAACAAATCACTTTGCTCTAAATCGAGTCTGAACACCACAAAGTACAAAAATACACAGCAAATTATGACCGTGTTTTTCAAATCGCGCAAACAGGAAAAAACCAAGCCTAAAGCGTAAACACGAAATCAGAGGTCCAGACAAACCCATCAAAAGCGCAAAGGTGAACAACCAAAAAATATATATATACACAACAAGGTCTACCAGTTCAAGACATGGGATCCAAGGGGAAAAAGGACCAAAAGAGTTAAGCTATTACAAAAAATGGCCTAGAAAGAGGTGTTGTCGCTAGAGCTGTCCGCAAGGTCATCCTCCTTCACCAGCTTCCCGAAGCGAACTTCTTTCTCCACATGCATGGAAGAGAGATCAACCCCCGGCGCGAGAAACCTCACCTGGCGAGCTCCCTTGAGGAATCCCCTCTTGTGCTCAAACACGACAGCCCGCTCAGTTTCCTCGAGCATCTTCTCTAACCCCGCCTTCGCCTCCTCCAGCTTCGCAAGGTACACCCTCAAAGCGACATTCTCCTCTACTTGGCCACCGAGAAGCACCTCGTCACAAAGATGCTTCTCGGCCTCCGCCACCAACTCGGCCTTCTGCGCGGTGACCTCATCCTCCAGAGAGCGCACCCGAGCTCGGGAAGACTTGGCAAGATCCTGCAACTCACGGACCTGGGCAGCGTAAGTCTCATTAGACCTCAGAGCAATCTCCAAGGACTTCTGGACCCTCTCTAGCTCCTTCTGGGTAGCTTGTAGCTCGGCCTCATTCTGCATCTTGGCGTCGTTGAGCCAATGCCTTGTTTTCTTCCTTCAAGGGCTGGACTCGCCCTTTCAGCTTTGCCAAGTCCTCCTGCTGCTTGGCCCACTTATGTTTCCAATGATCCACGATCGCCATCGTCCTCTGTAGGAAGACTTCAGCAGAATCAAGACCTCCCACTGGCCCGGCCGACTCGATCATGGCTTGATCAGTCGTGCTCAGCAAACTACTGGAGAAGAACTTCTCCGCGGTTACCCCCGCACTCCATAAAGAGTGTATGTCCTCCGAAGCGCTTACATGGTCCAACCGCACCTGGGAGGAACCCTTTACAAAGTGCTGGGCGAGATCTTGGCTTCTAGGGCGCTCCTTCGACGAGCCAGACGGCGATGCCGAGCTTGCGGGAGTGGGAGTCGGGACCTCGGAGCTCGGCCCCTTTCCACGGTTATTGGCGAAGGCAGAGGCAGGCGCCCCTTGCTCAGCAACGGGGATACCCACCCTTGGTACCTCCGAGCTCGAAGCCACCGGGACCTCGGCAGCATCCCTAGCCTGCAAAAGACATTCTTAAGTCAGAAAACCAAGAAGTGCAAATATAAAAGAAAAACCACAAAGCATGGCACCAACCTCGGTGGCCTGGATGACCTGTTTAGCAGCTGGAGCAACCTCCTCGGCGGCCACTTGGGGAGCCCCCTCCAGCGGCGGACTCCCTGTGAGGTCGACCGCGTCAGCGTCAGCGGCCTTAAGTAACCTCCTCAGCATCTCGAGGGGCAGAGGTCCCCTCGACCTCTTTTTCTCCCCTCTTTCTTTTTCTTCGGGTCTCCAGGGGGCCACGGCCTCCTCTTGAGGCTCGGGGACATCAATTTCGGCAATGTTGTAGCGGTGCTTCAACTCACCCCACTTGTTCCTGCCCATTATGCTTGTAAGTACAGAGAACACATACATCAGTAAAAGAAATTTGAGAACCCTAACGAGCAATAAAGACGAGATACTCACTCTCTAGACCCCGCTCCTTGTACGCCGAGTTGGCAAGCGACAAGACGAGCTTGCAATCCAACGGACGAGGAAGCGCTTCAAGGTTTGCAATGGCAGCGGTTTCAGAAGCTGACAATCACAACTGCCCCACTCCGTGAAACCTAGCCGGGACCGGCCGCCAGTAGAAGGGGAACTTCGGCAACCCACCGAAATAGAATGCCCCATCCTCTAACGGGTTGACATCCACAAGCGCCACCCAGAAAAACTCTTGTTTAAAATTCTTATACGACTAGGAGTAAAGGGAAAAAAGACCCCCAGCCTTACTCCCACTCAGGGACATCAGGCCATAAGGAGGAACACCCATTTCCAACTGGTAAAAATGGAGGAGAACGGACAAAGAAACCTCTATCCCCAAGGCCGAACACAGGACTTGGAAAGCCCTCAAAAAACCACAGCTATTGGGGTGCAACTAGCAAGGAGCCGAGTTGATAAAATTCAAAAAGTCACACTCAAATTGTGTGAAGGGAAGACACACACCTAAATCCCTAAAGAAACACTGGTATACATAAAAGAAATGAGGGTCAGAAGGACCCCCCCATATAGACACGCTCATCAGGCCGACAAGGCTCGAGCCGGATGAACTGGAGATGGAAGAATCACAGATCCTATGCGACTTTCGAATCGCATTGATCTCCATGAACGACCTGAACACACTCTGACACTCCCCCACGTCACACCTGACCCAGTCGTAGCCAGGAACGCCGGGGACGAGATCCTTATGCAAATTCTCTGCCTTTTTCTTTTCGGCGGCGGCCATTCCGGTAGCCACCGCCTTGTCGCGCGCCTTACCCTTGCCCTTGGCAGGCGCAGAAGATGCGGCACCACTCTCTCCAACCATCAAGAAAACAAAAAGAATCGAAGAGAGAAAGATTGGAGAAGAAAGAGAGAACAGGGAAATCAAAATACTGGGTACCCCCTTGACAAATGAAAGAGCAATAAGGAAGGAGGAGAACCCAGTTGCCGGAAACGGCGACGGAAACAGAGAGGACGAAGATAGGAAATGAACAGAAACGAGGAAAACAGTGTGCGCAAGAAGCCACAGAAAAAGAGTAAAGTGAAAAGGGGAAGAGGCGCGAGAGAGAGAAAATGGCTTCCCGAAATTCAAACGGCCACGACACGTGCCGGAGAGAGAGAGAGCACCTGATGACACATTTAATGAAGCTCTTTATGATGAGGCGAAACCATCATTGCATAACCGTCACCCCATCAACACGCCGCCCATGCGTTTCGGAACACGAAGTAACAGTTATGACACATGGCGTCTTGACAGGCAGGCGTACGCGAAGGGTCAGTGCTCCTTGATGAGCTCGGTCTTAACTCCTCGACCCACGGTCTTTGGAGCTCGGGAGGCTAGTGTACTATCCGTACAGCCATGTCGAGCTCGAACTCGACATCTCAGCGCAAAGTGACCTCGGACACGCGCTAGATGATGTTATCTCGGCATTTAAATAGGTCATAACTGATCTTAGGCCCAATGCCCAACAAAACCCTAATTCATACTCAGGTACATGCATTACTTATACGAGACTCATACATCCACAAAGACTAACTTTAGCATCGGAGTCTCTTTTGCAGGTATCACCCCCATCTTGGAGCATAAAACGTACCAGTGAAGGGGGCTCGCCGATCTTACCCAGCAGATCGTCCCCTACGACCGATCTCCGGTAAGAACAATTTCCATAGAGCATTGACCTCGAGGAAGGTTCTAAACCCACTCTCGAACTCCCTAACATCCCCCCTAACCCACTCGTAGCCCGGAACGGAGATGGTGGGATGTGAATCTTTGGGGTTGTTTCCACCCCTCTTCTTCTTCTCCTCACTGGCGGCGGCCACTTCCTCGGCCGCCATCACTACATCCCCGCGCGCTTTGGCCTTCCCTTTGTCCTTGCCCGGTGCGACCTTGGGGGGAGCAGAACCCTCACCAACCATTGTTTGAACCTCGACTAACAAAAGGGGGGAGAGTGAGGGGAAATACCTGATACTCCTAGAATCAAAACTCGCGAACGTCGATGACGAGCGAAGTGAACACTACCACAAGGGGATAATGGGGGCAACGAAGGAGACGGAGAAACTAAGGAGTGAGGAACGGTAAAGACAAAGCAGAAGCTGTGAGAAAATAAGGAGGGAAACCAATGTTTAAAGCAAAAAATGACAACGAAACAAGGGCATTAAATACAATGTCATAATGATAGGGTGCCTCTCGTCATTATGAGCCATCACCCTTCATTATTACACTCGCCTCTGTTCATGAAACGAGGCGACACTTGAATAACATGTGACCCTAAACCCAAGGCCAGAAATGAAGAGTCAGGACCCTCCACCAACCTCGGCATTAACTCCTCGGCTAATAGCACTCGTAGTTCAGGGGACTAGTGTACTACCCACATCGGTATCAGGGCCTACTCAGCACCTAAGAGGTCGGGCCACATCGACTTATCAAGTCGGACCAATCTCCAACTGATAAGATAAACTAATAAGATCTCAATCTTATCAAATCGTAACCAATCCCACTATCAGTCATGAGAAAAACTCTAATCTACATCAAGGTACGTGCATTATATATATGAGACTTACACACCCATAAAAACTAACTTAAGCATTGAAATCTCTTTTTGTAAGTACCAATCCCATCTCGGAGCAGCCGACGTACCAAGTAGAGGAGGCTCGCCAATTTTACCCGAAGATCATCTCCACACCGATCTCAGGTAAAAACAAACATCATTTGCATAAATTTATTCATACCCCCAGGAAGGCATTGTTCCAAGTTTAAGTCAATTTAATTTTAAACATATTTTTTTAATATAATGAAAAATTAATTTACATTCCGATTGTTTCTATAAAATATAATAATCAAATCATGTGTTTGTATATCGTTAATTTTACTTAAAGTATTTTATAATTTTAAATAACTTTATCTTAACATAATCTTTATATTAACCCTTTGTGGTTAGGGAAGACAAATCTCTAATATGGCAAGAAACAAAATAAATAAAAAAACTGACGAAAAGCAATCGTAGTCAACTCAAATACAGGAATGAAACTTTATTGGTCAACCTGTCAACTCTTGAATCAGCGACACTAGATTATTATACGACGACCCGTTCTCCATCAACGCCTCTCTACACTTGCCACTCATCTCCTTCACCTTTCTCCTGATCTCATCACCACCCTCCATCAGGGTCCTCACGCCACGCTCCACTTGTTCCGCCCGCACCAGATCCCCACCCACTCTATAATCCACGCTAATCTCCACCGCCAATCCCAGTTCCCTCACCATCTGAAACGCGTTCATCTGCTGCTCCGCGTACACCGGCCACGTGGCAATCGGCACCCCGTGCCACAAACTCTCCAGAATCGAGTTCCAACCACAATGCGACACGAACCCCCCAACGGAACCATGACCCAGCACCTTCGCTTGTGGGACCCACCCACACACCAAACCCTTCCCACTCGTCCGTTCCAAAAATCCCTCTGGTACCGGTAGTGCATCTTCGTTTGCGTAATCTCTTGGGTCTTCTAATTGGGCCTTCGGTGGCTCCCGCAAGGCCCATAGAAATCTAACCCCGGCCCGTTCAAGCCCAATCGCGATCTCCCCCACCTGGTTCGCCTTCATGCTTCCCAGGCTACCGAAGCAGAGAAAAACGACTGAACCCGCAGGCTGCTGATCAAGCCACTCCATGATTCTCTTGTACTGGGCAGGGTTGGGATCCCATTGGGCCGAGCCAACAAGATCAAGAACCGGCCCAATTGGATAAACGCGTGGTAATCGTGAATCATTGTAGAGTGACTGAACCGCGTGGGGTTCAAGCTCATGCAATGTATTCACCACGATGCCTTTCGTTTCCATGTACCTTCCCGCATGGCGTAACATCCACGAAAGCCCGTCGTTCGCGTCCAACACGAGGTTGGGCAAAACGGCGCGGGGCACGGGGTTTTCGAAACTCGGAATCTCGAACTCGGATTCCGAGCCGACTCGGGGAAGGTGGAGCGTGAAGCCGAGGAAGCTCGCCGGCGAGGCGAAGAAGAGGTAGCACGGGACGGAGAGCTCGGCGGCGACGTCGACGAAGGAGGTGCAGAACATGTCGACGAAGACGGCGGCGAGTGGGACCGAGTTGTTGGACTCGGAGGGGAGGAGGCTGAGGAGTGCGTTTCTGACGTGGTGCTTGTGGTTGTGTATGTGGAGGGAGAGGAAGGCGACGGAAGATTGGTAGTGATCGGGTGCGGGAGGGTCGACGGGAGGGAGGTGGAGGAGGCGTAGGTTAGTGGCTGAGGTGGCGCGGGATTGGAGGTAGGTGTTGACGAGGGGTCGTTGTGGGAGGGAGATGGTGAGAACGGTTGCAGAGAATCTAGGGTCGTGTTTGGTTAGGAGGAGGGCGAACTCGAGGAGTGGGACGAGGTTGCCGAGGGCTGGGGTAGCGATGAAAGCCAGTTGGAATCTAGTCATGTTGCAATGATGAGTTGAGCTAGGGAGCTGGTTTTGGTAATGGTACTTTATTTAGCTGTTGCTTGTGAGTCTACCTAAAAATCATAATATTATAATATTTCTCTCTCTCTCTCTTATAAGAACTTATTATTTAATTAATTAAGATTAAAAAATCATTAATTTAGTTAGCATTCTTATTAAAATAAACTCAAGATAAAATGTTTATCTCGTAGGGTTGTCTTTCAAACAATATTATATTTGAAAAAACACTCGGACAATTAAGTGCTTTTGTATAATATTTATTTATTTATATAATATATATATATATATATATATTTTTTTTTATATTAACTACATCAATTCATTTTTTTTTTAATTTTGTAACCGTAACACGGTTACCATGGACGTTAAGTTCATATGTTGACACATGAACTCGACATATCACTTTGGTGATATGAATGTTTGATTAGTTTTATGTTATCGACGTGACAATGACATAAAATATATAACCGAGCTTACATTATCAAATGAGGTTAATGTATAAGTTCATGATCAAGTTTACGTTATCAGTGAAATTGTTACAGTTAGTAATAATAAATTTAATTAAATGTATTTTTAAAAATAATATAAGAACATTATAAATATATTTAATTAAAATAAATTAAATAAGACTTAAATATATTTTTAATTCTTCAAATTTAAGATAAATTTATTATTGATCCTTCGAATTTAAAATTATTATTTTTAGTTCTTGTAATTTTTAAAAATATTATTTTAGTCTCTTATATCATCAATAACATATATAAAAGTGATAGATTGAGAGAGTTATGTAGTATCTCTTGAGTTAATGTGATATTTTCATTATTAGTGTTCGGCCAAAGGGTGGATTAGGGTTTTTTCCTAGATCGTGCCTTAGAGTCAGAGCATTCAAAAGTGTAATCTGCCTTCTCAACTCTAGGGTTTTTTCTTTTATAGTTTCTTGTTTACGGGCTTTATGGGCCCCGAGAATGTAGGGATTTCCTTAACCATTTTGATCTGGTTAATATTTGGTGAGGGACAGTGGGACCTTGCCCTTGCTATCGGGTAGTCCCTGTATGCGAGAGTTGTGTCGGCCCCCAACCGACCATACCCGTACTGAGGGTGCAGTCGGGTATTGACCGAGTTGGTTCTTGTAAGCAGAAGGAATCGGAAATATACCGACCAGGTTAAGTAGAGAAACCAAGTCGAATAATAACTGAACCACTCTTAGAGGGGTGATCGGTGAGAGCTACAGTCGGCCTGGCATATCGGCGAGAGCTACAGTCGGCCTGACATATCGGCGAGAGCTACAGTCGGCCTGACATACGTAGTAGGCAGGTCGGAATCTGACCTAGACCGTACACTAGCCCTCCAGCGCTGAGCCTATAAGGCGGAAGGGCTTTGCTAGACAGGGGGTCGGCTTAGCCATGGCCGACATGTCCCTCGTGGAGGCCTCTAGTCGGATTTCGTCCTGGACCGTACATTAGCCCTCCAACCTTGAGCGTGCAAGGCGAGAAGGCTTATCCTCAGCTGATACATACAGTCAGATTCTTGTTGAGCACACTTTTATGGCTAAGGCAAGGGACAGACCAAGAAGATTCACAGACTCGTTATCTCACCTCGTGGCTACTCGGGCTCTTGTAGGGGATGTGAGAAAATTCACCCAGTTAAAAAGCCTCAAATGCACTAGTCCGTTAACTATTTGCCTCAGTCACCTTGGGTCACCGAAATACCGAGTCGAAATTCACCAAAATCACGTCGCCTAATTTCTGACTATAAATGATGAGAATTTTTTTTTTTTTTACAATGAAATTTGACAATCAGATCGGCAAAATACTAACTCACAAAATAAGTGAAAAAATTTTCGAGTTAAAATGAATCCAACTAATAGCCCCCATGCCCACCATTCCGAGAGTGAAATAAAAAGATGTTCTTCTAGCTAAGATGTGGCGTTTTTGGCCGAGGTGTGGGACATGATAAGCCTGCGGGTCAGACAAATGCCGATCTTGTTGTGGCGGCATAAGCTGGATCAAAACAATCATAGTAGTTGAGTGCAAAGTGTCCGTATCTGGAACATACTTGACGTTGAAGGGAGAAACATCCATGTCGTGACCTTCCCCAACCACTTCTGGTTCGTCAACTTCACTCGTCGACGCTAGTATTCTTAAACCACTTCTAGTTCCTCGAGTATTTTCAACCACTCCTAGTTCGTCAACTTCACACGTCGACGCTTGTATTCTTAAACTACTTCTGGTTCCCCGAGTATTCTCAACCACTCCTGGTTCGTCAACTTCACTCGTCGACGCTAGTATTCTTAAACCACTTCTGGTTCTCCAAGTATTCTTTCAAATAGCCTCTTCAGGCTTTACAAGGGATGGATTGTTTGAGTGTGTGTATAACTCTCACAAAGAGGATAAGATGGTTTCTACACTCGCTAAGGTATACAGCCTTAGTTTTATAGAGATGTGTTTTTGAGTGTGTATATTACTCTCATAGAGAGTATAGGATAATTTCAATACTCACTAAGATAAGCTATCTTAGTTCTACATAAATATACAAGACTGTACAAGAAGAGATGTAAGATTATTTTAACGTTCGCTTTGCTAGTTGCTTCACTTCTCGTCTATCTGTCTTCTCTTCTCAGGTCTTGATATTTATAGCCTTGTGATAAATATGCCCATTTTTTGAATTTGAATGTGTCCGTTGATGCAGAGCTTCCCGTTGGTGTAGATAACAGTTTGTTCATGGCTATGTAGATCTTTCATTTAATGCATTTGATCTTACATTAAATGTTTGCTTACTGAATCTGTGTTACGTGAAGTCCTTTGCATAGTTTGTTCTCTTTTATGTCTAGCTTCAATCATAACCTAGGTATTTCTTTTCTCTTTTCGTCAGTGTAGGTGCAGAGAAATTGTCTTTTTCTGAAAAGTAGGTGTACTTGCTCTGATACTCGCATATGTGATTTGTGAATTCGCGCTCGTCTATTCTTCTTCTTTCTTTTCACACTTTTGATGGCTTCGTGTGCTCTTCTTATGAGTGTAGACGAAAAAAAAATGATTGATGATTTACAAGATTCTATATAATTTTGAGCAACGTGAGTCAGATTTTAAATCTATTATTAGGGGGTTTAAAAAATGGTCTCGGGGATTCCTTGGTATTTCGAGAAATTGAGAACAAATACAGAGAGCCCAAAATCGTTGATGTTGTAGTGAAAATCGTGTCCCACGGCTTTAAAACCATGAATAGGGGTTTGGATCATTTTCATCGGAATTCGTTCTGAAATTCTGTGAGATATTGACCAATGTTGAGTTGTAGATCATTGGTATGAACAGTCCATGTCACAACAAAATTACCTTGGTTTGAATTAAAGTCAGGTTATGGTTGATTAATAGTCTTGTCGGAATTCAAAACTGTTGGTTTAGTATATAAAAGATTTTTTTTTTGTTGATATATTAGTATTGTGCTTGTGAAATTACTTCAATTTTACCAGTATTGCCCAGATCAAGACCAGCTTTTTCTGCCCTTGATTAAGTGAGGGTGAAAAGAAATGCTCTGTAGTTGTATATTGCCTTCGACTAAAATTATAATTCATGTAAGGTTTTCGTTTAAACTTGCAAAATGATTATTTAATGAGAAAAATATAAGAGGTGGTTTTCAAGGTTACATGATGTAATAAGTTCAAACCTCATTGACATAAATTTATGGAAGAAAAGGTTGTTTTTATTGATGAAAATTTTTATGATAAAAAGTTTAATTTTTTGAGAAAGAAGAGACACAAAGTACAGCTACTAAGAGGATAGGAAATTCTTCAAGGAATAAATAGAAAATACATCAAGAGTACAAAATGCAGCAAGGCTTCTCAATTGCTATATAATGCAGATATGGAAATTGTTTGGCATGAGAATGCAGTTCCCGAACAGGCCTTACAGGGTCTATTGTGAGAGATAAAAATAAAAGGGCAGATTAGTGGTAATTATACAAGTTTTTAGTTTTGGCCATAAATACCCTTCTGGATATACAGATGGGAGCGAATTTTCTAATTGGTAGTTTCGACAGGAGGATGCTTCTTTGGGGTACACTTGTGTACTTCATTCTTTTTTGTTCCAAATATCAAATAATACAAATATGATTTCTTGTTTTCGTTTATCTTCTTCCCCTTCCCTATCTCTTCAAACCAAATAAGACAAAAGGTCTCTTGAAACCACTATTATAGCAGAGCACCATAATTAAAAGAATACCACAATCCTGTCCCAAGGTATGTCTAGTTGCTATAAAAACCAGCCATGAGTCAAGCCTAAGGTTAGAATGATTCTTATAGTGACAGGCTTCATAATAGGGGAAAATGTTTATGTGAAATCAAACCCATATTGTTGGTTGAAACCCTTGGCAACCAACCTTGCCTTGTATTTATTTAAGGAACCATCAACATTTTCTTTACATGAAAGACCCATTTACATCCAATGGGTGTTTTGCCAGGTGGGAGAGGGGTCAGTTTCCATCTCTTGTTCTATTATAGTGCTGTGAATTCAGTCTGCATGGCTGCATGCCAATTGGAGCCTTGAAGAGCTTGTTTAATTGTTTTTGATTGATGCTCAAACCTTGGCCATTTTCGATTTGAATTTGGTCTGGTCCTTCAAAAGGTTGAAATTGGTGAATATTTTCAGAGCTATTTGTGACATGATGTGAAGTGCCAAAGCCAGGATACCATACTTGTGCTATACTTGTGCTGGAGCATTCACAGGTGCAGTATTTGCAATCATCGCCTAAGAAAAAGTTTGTGTCGCAGGACAATAGTGTGGGGTTTGTGATTAATTTTGTGGTGGATGAGAAGGAACAGGAATTCCTATAGGTGTTGAAAAATGGTTCTGGTAGGAGAAATTTTGTTGCTGTCTGAACTGTTCAGATCAAGTTGTGGCGGCATAAGCTGGATCAAAACAATCATAGTAGTTGAGTGCAAAGTGTCCGTATCTGGAACATACTTGACGTTGAAGGGAGAAACATCCATGTCGTGACCTTCCCCAACCAATACAACCTCCTCCGCGAAATTGATTACCTCTGC